CTCAGGTCCAGCAGGCTTGAGATATCGAGACGCCCTCCAGCAGGTGGTCAGAGGGTGGAGGACATTTCGATATCTCAGGCCTCACCTGGAAGGTGACCATCTCAAAACATCTGTCATCCTTCGAGGTGACAGATGGTCGTAAGGCGGGAGATAAGGTCGCAAGGCGGGCTTGGCTAGCAAGGCAGGCATTTTCCACTTCATGCTAGCAGGCAACTATGCCTTCATGTCACTGACAGCATGAGATAAGAAATACCTACTCCGCTGCCAGCCAAGCTGTCAGCTAAGCTGTTAGCTGCTAGTCACACAGGGCACTTTTAACTTATTGATTCTATTATTTTCTACCTATTGATTACATGCTCAGTACAACTATGTAGCCAGTCGGAGCTGGCTGAGATCCCCCTGACTCAGCCTTCTAAGTGCTAGGGTTTAAAGCATCTGCTGCTGTTACTGGGTAGTCCTTTAGAAAGGTCTTGCCATTCAGAAGCATTCCAGGGCGAGGGATTTAGCTCAGTGGTACCGCGCCTGCCTGCCTTGTAAGCATAAGGTCCCGCGTTCACTCCCTGGTACAAAAAAAGGGGGGGGGGAATATTCCAGGTCCTTTTTGTTCTACTCAAACACAGAAGTGGACGAATGAGATAAGTCAAAAATGGTGTTAAAAGTTTATTTGAAAAGTGAAGGGTAAATAAATACGTGTGGGAAAAACCAGCTCTGCAGAGTGAACTCGGGTAGAACAACAGAAAAAGATAAAAGCAAAAATAAAAGTACAGCTTACATCTGAGAAATGCAGCACCCGGCTCTCTTGAAAACTCACCAGAGCGGCTCTGGGGCAGCTGGGGCCTTTTTATGCTCTCCACAACTGGGAGCCCACAGGAAGTGCCACATCCGGGTCCTGAGAATTATTTGGCGCTGTCCTGGGATCTGGTAATTGACAGGTCGCACTCCCACTGAGTTCCCGGCCAGCTTTGCCATGCCTTACCGCTTATATCACTATTATGCCCAATTCTTCAGCCTTTTTTTTTTTTTTTTTTTGAGATTAGGTCTTGCCAACTTACCCAGTTTGGTTTTGAACTTCCAACCCTCCTGCCTCAGCCTCCCAGAGTGTTAGAACTACATGTCTACCAAGTCTAGCTTTAAATAAAGTTAAAAAAAAAAAGGCAACATAACCAGGGCCGGAGATTTAGCTCAGTGGTGCGTGCCTACCTTGTAAGTGCAAGGTCCTGAGTTCGATCCCCAGTACCACAAAACAAAAACAAAATAGTAACACCATCATTCACAACACTATCTTACTTCCTTATATGACTAGCATTTATATGACAATAGTTTTCACATACCTATTTTCTTATTTTACTAACACAAGGGACTGAACTCAGGGCCTTTCCACTGAACCATGTCTTTGGTCCCTTTTATTTTTATTCTGTTTTTTGTGTTTGGTACTGGGGATTGGATACAGGGCTTTCACATTAAGCTATACCCGTCCCTTTTAAATTTTTTATTTTGATAAATTGGACATACATGTTTACCACATTGTTTCTTTGGTGTGAGAAACAGAACGTGGAAATGACTGAGATGTATAATGGATGTTGGAAAATGGGAAGGTGTTCAAATGGGAAGGGAACAGGAAGGAAAAGACAAGAAAAAAAGTGAAAATAAAAGGGAAATATGGACACAAAGCTTTGGTATGTCCCCCTTGGGGACAGGTCCATTTATCAAGTCTGTGAAGCCTGCACCACAGACTGAGGTGGCATCTTCCTGTTGGCAGTGGCCAACGCAAGGCTCTGGTTGTTGGCCGTGGTTCCCGGCTCCAATGCTCTGTGCTCTGCACAGTTTAGTTGGCCGATCTGCACAGACACTTCATAAACCTGGTGACTGCTGGGTTGGGTCCTGTCAACCCCTCCAACTCCAGACATTTGCTGAGCACTTCCTGTTCTGGGAGCAGACAGACGGAGGGATGGAAAGACAGACAGGCGGCTCCCGGGGATGCAGAGGGGGGGGCCTGCTATGTTGGACTATGGAAACCCAATCGGGAATCCTGCCTCTGAATTTCTGAGCGCATGCGAAGTCTGCAGAGCAAAGACTTGAAGTCCAGCCTGTCCCATCCTCACCTGACCTGATGGACCATCCTGTTCCTTCGTCCAAGAGCTGAGTTAGCCAGGAAGGGCGACACCACAAGCAGGCAGCACCCAAACGCTGCCAGAGCACAAGCATTTATTAAATGCCTACTACTCCAGGGTGGTGAGGTGGCAAAAGGTAAATGTGGGCCGGGGAGTGTGCCACACACCTGTGATCCTAGTACTCCGGAGGCTGAGGCAGGAGGATTTCCTGGAGTCCATGGTCAGCCTGGGCTACACAGTGAGCTCAAGATCAGCCTGAACTATACGGTGAGACCCTGACTCAAAAAATAAAACACCAGGCAAACGTGGCAGGGGGTAGGGTGGAGCCGGCTCTCCAGGTTCCTGGGAGAGACCAGTGGCAACAGACTGCTCCTGTAAGGACAGGCATGTGTGTGTGTGTGTGTGTGTGCACGCGCGTGCGCATGTACTGCTACAGGAACTGCATGGGTGACACAGAGGCGTGAGGGACAGTGTGACAGGTCTCAGGGGCCCCACTGCAGCCCAGCCTCCTGTGGGGCAACTGCAGGGTCCTTTGGAGCAAAAGAGTTTAGCAAACCGTGATTCCCAGAGGAAGAGAGGCCCATGGCAGACATTTGGGGAATGTTGCTGTGGCCACACAACACACTGGCCAGTTCATGCTAGGACCTGGCCACATACTATGTTGAAGTAGTGGTGATGTCTCATGTGAGGTTCTTTCTTTCTTTCTTTTTTTTTTTTTTGGTATTGGGGATCAAACTCAGGTCCTTGTGCTTGCAAGGCAGGCAGCGGTGGAACCACTGAGCTAAGTGCCCAGCTGAACTTTTTCTTTTTTAGCAGCACTTGGGATCAAACCCAAGTGCTCTGCCACCGAGCTACACCCCCAGCCCTTTTACTTTTCATTTTGAGACCAGGATGCTAAGTTTCCCTGCCACAGCCTCCCTGGTAGTTTGGGGAAGTGTCACCACGCCTGGCGACAGGATGTTGTTTAAATTGACACAAACAACTTCCTGACCGCACCGCCAGAGAAGAAGTTATCTAGTAAACTCAGCTGAATTTCCCCCAAAATTCATTTGTAGCACACAGCACACAAATAATGGTTCCCAGGAACATACCGGCACCTATCCCACTACTACTGGCATTAGGAGGACTTCAGAGCGGGGACTGCATGCCAGGCTGGTACATGCTAATCACATGCTCCACCCCTGAGCTCTGTCTCTATCATTACTGTATTATTAAGTCATGTTGAGCTCGAAGTCAGACCAGTACCCAACCTGCCCCAGCTCTTCGCCTTTATCTATTCCATCTTTAGAGATGCATTTGGGTCAATATCTACTTCTTACATAGACTTTTGTTTGTTTGTTTGTTTCCTCTTTGGTTTTTGAGACAGGGTTTCACTATGTAGTTCAGGCTGGCTTTGAACTCACTATGTGGCAAAGTGTGGCCTCAAACTCGCAGCGATCCTCCTGCCTCTCAGCCTTCCAAGTGCTGGGATCACAGGCGTGCGCCACCACACCTGGGCCCAGCTGCATAACCTTTAAAGAAAAAAACTTTTTTTTTTTTTTTGGTTTTTTTGAGACGGGGTCTCGCTATGTAGTTGAGACTGACCTGGAACTCACTATGTAGCCCAGGCTGGTCTTGAACTCACAGCGATCCTCCTGCCTCAGCCTCCCGAGTGCTGGGATTACAGGTGAGCGCCACCATGCCCAGCAAGAAGAAACTTATTCCTTGAATCCGGGTTCACACACTTGGTGGGTACTTCAGATCCGCGGGCACGGGAAGGTTTCTTTGCCAGCATGTTAGACCACCAATCCAGGGAGGCGACAGCCGCAATGCATCTCGGGAGCTCTTTGGTCCGCGGCCAAGGATAAATGAAAGGACTATTTCTGACCCTCTGTTCTCAGCAGTGACAAATGTCAAGGCAGAGCTCTTCCCTCCTCCCCCTTGTTCCACTCTCCTGTCGGGGTCCCTGCCTTCCACACTGCAGCTCGGCTTGGAGATAAGTGGGTGCCGGGCGGTGACAGGCAGCGCTGAGAGCTGCCAGCCACAAATACCACCGCGGCCAGTGGTTCACAGCGCGCACTGCTCTGAGGCCCGCAAGGGGCTTCCCGGGAATCCAGCACCATAAAGACGTCTGAGGCTGGGGCTCTGTGTGCCAGGAGCCCCGTAAACGTCATGCTGTAAGCAGCCTGAACCCCGGGTCTTCCCAAGCTCTTTAGGACCCAATGACTGGGGTGGAGGAGGGTTAAGGAAAGGCGCCTGGGAGGCCTGTGGGTGAGTTTGACCCATGGCCACGTTTTCTGAAGTGATTTGTATTTTCAAGGAGATTTTTGGGCTGTCAGTATTTTTCTTTGTTTCTTGGGGGGTGGGCAGTGCTGGGGACAGAACTCAAAGGCTAGGCAAGCACCACACCCCAGCCCCAGGCTGTCAGCATTTTTAAACCAAAGTATTTGATAACTTCTTTTGAAAAATAAAAACAAAGCCTCACAGCTTGAATGGAAAAGTGGAGGGAGCTGGGGGGCACCTGGGACTCATCTGCCCTACAGCCCAGTTCAACAAATGTTTCTTGTAACTCTGCAAACACACACACACACACACACACACACAATGAAAAAATATAGATACCAAGTAGCATAGTCTATTTCTGAAAGAAATGGGTTTAGCTGGGAAAATAATAGGCAAATTATCTGTCAAATAAGGACATAGTTCTTACTTTTTCTTTCTTTTTCTCTTTTTCTGTATTGGGGCCTTTGCACTGAGCTACATCCTTAGCCCTTTACATATTTTTCATTTTGACGCAGCCTTCTTAAGCCTACAAACTACCCACGCTGGGTTTGAATGTGCAGTTCTCTTGCCTCAGCCTCCCAGAGTGCTGGAATTAGTGTGTCACCATGCCCACTTCTTCTTTTTATTTTTAACATGGAATGTTTCACCACTTTGTAAGTCATCCTTGGGCAGGGCCCATGCCAATATTCTCAGTATTGTTCTAATCTTAACATATGTGTTGCTGAAGTGAGCACAGTTCTTACATTTAACGTGGTAGCACACACCTGTAATCTCAGCAACTCAGGAGGCTGAGGCAGAAGGATCGCCATCAATTCAAGACCAGCCTGGGCTACACAGTGAGTTCAACGCTAGCCTGAACTACAAGAGTGAGACCCGGTCTTAAAACACCCCCCAAAAGATAGCCTTTTTCGCCCCTCCTCAACCCTACACCCCTCCCCACAGCAGTCCTCCGGGGACAAAGGGAGAGGGGAGAGCACCGGTCGGATGCGCTGTTCTGCAGGTGAGTATGCAGCAGGCACGGGCCGAGTCTCAACTCATCACTCTGACCCACGAGTCGGTGCGCACTCCTTTCGCTCTGCCCCAAAGTGTAACAATTTATGGATGAGAAACTGAGGCTCCAGAGGCCCCTAGCAATCGGAACCACATGGTGCCGGGCGGGGTGAAGCACGCCTGTCATCCCGGTACTCCGGGAGGCTGAGGCGGGAAGATGGCCAAATTTGAGCGCAGACGGAGTAATTTAGACACTGTCTCAATAAATAAATAGGGCTGGAGATGCAGCTCCGGGCCAAAGCCTTGGGTTCAATCCCCAGTTCTGAACCGAAAAAAACAAGAAACAGAACAACAAACCACATGGTTCCCTGCCGCCCAAGGCAGAGGCCGGGATGACCGCGAGGGAGGCTTTGGCCGCGGCTCAGCGCCGGCCGTCCCGGG